ACTTCATGAAAGAGCCCTGAAACATTTGCGTGTCGATGATTGTGTCGTCACTGATCTGAGAACAGCTCCACCTGTGCCTCTCCTCACACGCAGGAGTCACCACCTGCGCTTCATTCGTTATGTGTTTGTTAATGTTATCTCCCCGGAGTAATAAACTCGTTGGCCTTTCGCTGAATCGGCTGATGGAACGCTGGCTTAAAAGCACCATCGCCATGGAAACCGCCTCCAGACTCGTCGCCGGGTCAGCGTGTGTTTGAAAGCGGCGCGCAGCCTTCAATTATCTCTGTTTGTATCTCTGTTGATTAGAGAGGCATGATGGGAACTCCAGCAGACAGTCTTTTCTCCGCCTGAATCTTCCTCCGCCTGAATTGTGTGTGTCAATGCAGTAACAAATGCAGAAGTCCAGCGGGCCTCAGGGGTAGTGATTATAGGAATATTTCACCCAAACATGTGAATATGTTTTTAAACAACAACTTTGTTTTAGAATCATTACATTTAATAGAAGTGAAGTTGAAGAATCGGAATTCTGAGATAACTTGCAATTGTGATTTATAAACTCGCAGTTGCAAATTTAATTGCGAAATGTAAACTCAGAATTTTGAGAAAAAAGTTAGAATTGTGAGATGTAAACTTGCAATTGCGAGTTATAAAACTTGCCACTTCTGACTTTTTTCTCTGAATTGTGAGTTTGTATCTCGCAGTTCCAAGTTATTAATTACAAGATGTATAGTCAGAATTCTGAGAAACAAGTCAGAATTGCGAGAAGTACACTTGAAATTTCAGACTTTTTTCATAATTGCAGGCCTATATCTCACAATTGCGAGTTACTAATTGCGAGATGTAAACTTGGAATTTGTACTTGTAATCTCAGACTTTTTTCTCTGAATTGCGAGTTTAGATCTTAATTACAAGTTATTAATTTGCAAGATGTAAACTTAGAATTCTGTTTAAAAAGTCAGAATTGTGAGATGTAAACTTGTAATTGCAATTTATAAACTCAATTTCTGACTTCTTTCCTTTACAAGCTTATATCTCACAATGCGACTTATTAACTGCAAGATGTAAACTCAGAATTCTATTCTATTCTATTTTATTTTGTTTTATTAACTTTGTTTTTTATTTTTTTGTAATTCTCATTTCTAATTAATTCTTAATGTGATTCTCATTAGGCTAACATTACTGTAATACAGTATTTTAGAATGAGTTGTCATGAAAATAATGTCAAAATGCAATTGAATGATACACATTATAAACCATAAATCACATTCAGTCTGATATTATAGATATGATCATTTTAAAAATAAGAGATTATATTTTGCATAACAAAAATGAAGCCTCTTTTATAACCATTAAAAGTTTTTGCATTTTTAGGACTATTAAACACATTTCCCTAAAGCAAAGACATTTTTATTTATTTATTTTTTACATTTTTATTATTTATTTATTTCGTAATTCTCATTCTTTCTTAATGTTATTCATATTAGATTATCATTATTGTAGTACCATATTTTACAGTGAATTGTCATGGAAATAATGTCAAAATGCTAAACTTTTCATGGTACTAAAATAGTCTTCATATTATGATTAATTTTCAGATATTAATCTCAAAATGTAATTTCCTCATTTTTTGAGAGTTAGGGTGAAATATCGAATCATTTTGTTGGGAATTCAGTCAGGGAATGCTGTCGGATGTGGACTTGCGCGTGTGTTTTCTCTTGCTTCGAGCAGAAAGCCCATCTGTGTGCAGGGAACCCCTGTCGACTCCATTATGCTGCTAATGGAGGTTTTAATGGAGATGAGCTTTGCTCCAAGACCCTTCGCATCTGAGATGCAACTATTAATGTAGAGCGGAGCGACCCATCTATAATCAGGACAAAGGAATGGTCCTGCCATCCAGCGCAGATGCCTCTGTAATGAGCAGGCATCAATCATATCCTAACAGCCCCGGCGGGAGACCCGAGCGCTCGGATAAGAGTCATGCACAAGTGCGCAGTCAATCACAGCGGATTCAGGCAGGATCGCTTTCACACGCGATTGACAGCGCTCTTAGACATTACTTAAAGTGTATTTAAGATAATGGCAAACCTGTATAACTGCAGAATGACTCTCATGAATATTATAATTCAGCAGCGGCGGTTTTGGAGGTTGTGGCTCTTATTGGGTGGGGTCTTGTATTGTTCCTAACTCATATACTGTTATTTTTTGGTGAAAAACAAAAGAAGAAATTGTTTGATTGTTCATTCCGCTCCTTTCCATACAAAAAGAAAACAAGATTTTCAGTGAATAACTATTTATTTTTGGGTCTGTTCCTCACAATTCCTCTCTCCCTCACCTTTCATATGCCTTAACAGGACTTAAGGTCCGTTCACATCAAGCACTATAACGATAAAGATATAGTTCTAAAAATCGTTCTCAATATTAAAGAATAGCAGTGTCCACACCACAGCTATAACGATAAAGGCACAGAGAAACGATATCGTTGGAATCACTTTCAGAATGATTTTTTTCAGCTGATGAACGATACAAACATTGACAGCCAATCAGAATCAATCCTGCTATAAAGAGCTCAAGAATTTAAAGCGGCAGACAAGCATACACTTACAGACGATATCGTCCGCTGGTGTGGACGCTAATATTGTTATCTTTAAAGTTATCGTTCTTGGTGTGAACAGGGCTTTAGAATTCAGTGCACTTTAAAGATACTTTTTGTGTTGCTTTTATGGTGTTTTTTGCAGTAAAAATACAGCCATATACATTAAAGTACAGTAGAAACAGTAATATTGTGCAACATTTCTATAATTTAAAATTACTATTATTTTCTATTTGGATATATTTTAAAATGTAATTTATTCATGTGATTGTTTATTACTTTATGGTGTTTTTGGAGCTGTAAAATAATAATAGATAATAGGGCTGCACAATTAATCAAAATAAAACCGAAATTATGATTTGGCTTAGTGTGATTATCAAATCGATGAATAAAAAAATAATTTATTTGAAATTTTCTTTACTGTCACCTTTGATCAATTTAATGTGTCCTTCCTGAATAAAAGTATTAATTTCTTTAACAAAAAGCATTGCATTGCATTGCAAAAATCCTGCATGCTGTATGCACTGAAAACACCCTCCACCCTGAAGTGACAGCAGTTCCAGCTGGCATGACATGAACAAAACACACGCATTACTTTATGGTGTTTTTGGAGCTGTAAAATAATAATAGATAATAGGGCTGCACAATTAATCAAAATAAAACCGAAATTATGATTTGGCTTAGTGTGATTATCAAATCACAAAGGCTGCAATTTCATTAAAAAATGTAATTAAATGTGATTTGATTGATTGATTGATTGATTGATTGATTTTACTTAGTAACAAACAAAAACAAATACCAGAACCACCTTGAACTGAGGTGAAAAATAATAATAATAATAATAACATAAAAATAAAATATTATTATTGTTATTATTAATAATAATAATAATTCTGATGTATGCAACCCTGCACAATTAATCAAAATAAAACCAAAATTGTGGAATGGCTTAGTGCAATTATAAAATCACAAAGGCTGAGATTTAATAAAAGAATAAAAAATTAACAAACAGAAACAAATTCCAGAACCACCTCGAACTAGACTGAGGATATAAAAATAAAATAATAAAATAAATAATTATATATAAATGTAAAATTCAATAATGATAATAAGAATTAGACATATTGCTATATAATCACAACATTTTGGCCAAAATGTGCAGTCCTACAAACCTGTATTTTAATTTTTAAATTGCACCAAATTGCCGTTTTTATCAGAAAAAAATCCACGTTTTTCCACAAAACATGCAGCCCTGATAGATAGTGCCTGACAGTCCTATTACTGTAACTAAAAGTAACAATTTAAGTGAAAGACTTAACAATTAAGTCCCCAATCTGGTGTAGCAAAGCAGGGATTGTTTCAGAGCAATTCAAATGATCCCAAATGCTGGAGGCTGAACTACCTGTCCGTCTGGCTTCTGGACGTCCTGGCAGCAGGCGAGTCTCGTTAGACGCAGAGTCTCTCACGATTGTTTGTTGGCGTCATATTTAGTGGGTTTTTCTGTGACGAAAACTGAAATCATGCTTATTTTACCACAATTAAGGTGTTTTCCAGTTAGTTTAGTACCTAAAAACACCCATTTAAAATCACTGTATGCAGGCCTTGAGTGGTTTATTACTTTATTTTGCTGTATTTTCTGCTCTTTGCATCACAGTGAATTTACTGCGTGCCCATTTCTGAAATCTTGGTCAAATTGATGATGATTTAACATTGAGTTGTTTCATTTATACATTGTTTATTGGTGTTTTTAATTATATTTACTGGGTTTTTATTTTATTAACAGTGCGGTAGCTGATATATGCTGATTTTCAAGTTAGTTCATTACCTAAAAACACCCCTTTACTATGGTAAAATCACTCTGTACAGGCATTGAGTGATTTATTTCATTATTTGCATTAGAAGTTGTTCATCACAGGGAGGAGACTGCACATTTCTGACATTTTGGTCAAATTTATGTTGATTTCACAAGTTCCTGAATTATTTATTGCACCTTTGGTGTTTTTGTAATCATATTTATTGGGTTTTTCAGTGGAGAAGCTGAAACCATTAACTAGAGACCAGCATCTTGGCTGATATATGTTTGTTTACCACGATTAAAGTGTTTTCCACTTGGTTCAGTACCTAAAACACTCCTTTACTTCCTAAAACCAGCGCCTTGAGAGGTTTAATGATGTTATTTTGCTATATTTTCCTACAAACCTGTATTTTAATTTTTAAATTGCACTAAATTGCCGTTTTTATCAGAAAAAAATCCACGTTTTTCCACAAAACATGCAGCCCTGATAGATAGTACCTGACAGTCCTGTTACTGTAACTAAAAGTAACAATTTAAGTGAAAGACTTAACAATTAAGTCCCCAATCTGGTGTAGCAAAGCAGGGATTGTTTCAGAGCAATTCAAATGATCCCAAATGCTGGAGGCTGAACTACCTGTCCGTCTGGCTTCTGGACGTCCTGGCAGCAGGCGAGTCTCGTTAGACGCAGAGTCTCTCACGTTTGGCAGGAGATTTGAGCAGGACCTGAGCTGTAGTCTGGTTTCATTAGAGGAGAAAGAGAGAGCGGCAGATGCTGCTACTGAGGTCCTGTCAAAGACGGTTTCTCTCTCAGATGAGGTTTATGAAGAACGTTTATACCTGGATGGAGAATTTAGCTGCACGCTATTGCTGCTGCGTTCGGTGTGTCCTGCTGCGTTGCAGTCTTATGCATGTTAATACAGTATGTATGAATTCACAGAGCTGAGAGTACTGTTGCTAAATGACTTGCGCAGCCCTGCATTGTGGATGAAGATGGAATCTTTTCTCCGGGTGTTTGTGGTGTTTGTGGTGTCTGTCTCTTTGGCTCTAAATATGATCATGCATATCGGCTCTAGAGCGATTGCATCCCAGTTGCACTCAGCAGACGTCTGGTTTGGCATCTGTACAGTCAGATTTAGCAGTAGGATGAGCGGCTGGCTTGTATTTCATCTGATGCAATAGTAACACCCAATTGACACCAACAAAAGCGGTGTGTTGTGTTTTATTGTGATTCAATAAAAGCAGATTAACTTGTGCTGTGAAGCTGTGTGTATATTGCAAAGGCATCAATGTAGAGTGAAGTTGAAGCTGGAGCACTGTAGTTGTGATGCTTTGTGACAACAAACTCGAATTGTCCTTTAACTCAGAAGTGGTTTAGTGGTCAGTTTAAAATACAACCAACATCCTTCAATATATAATGCATATTCTATGTTTTCAGATCAATTTTAGTGATTTTGAGTAGATAGTGTGTATTTGCATGATTTAAATTCAACATTTTGTGTACATATTGTATTTGTATTTACTATAATTAAACTGTATTTTACTCTACAGTTCAAAGATTTGGGGTCGGTTTAAATGTTTTT